GATTTGGGGAAGAGTGATTGAATGGATTTCAGAGGATTTGAAGGTAAACTTTTTGTTGTTTATTTGAGTGGATTTTGGAGGTGAGAGTGGATTTAGAAATAAATTTTTTTAATCTCTCACATCAATCAAATTATACACTAGTTCTCACAAACTTTACTTTCAAATTCACTCTCACTTACCTTCAAAGTCCACTCAAATAAACAACAAAAAATTTATTATTTTTCAGATAAATGTATTTTGTTTTCTACAACAATTAAAAATAAATTAAGAAGTTAAAAGTATATATCCCGTTTGAAATAGTAATGATAATTAAGATTTAAAATAAGTGACATTAACATCTTCATAATGTTTCTTATAAATTCAATAATGTTGAACATCCAAATTCATTGTAATATTAAAGGTAGTAATCATTCTTTTGTCCAATATGAAGGTTAAGTTTTTCGAATATCTATGCATGTATTTGCTATGAACATCCATACACGATTGTTTTCTCAAATCAGAAATCCATTGTCATTGACATATATAAAAGAGATAAACCTTATTATATTTAAAATGGGATTCCAAAAATAAAGGAATGCAATAATTCAGAAATAGTCAGAATAATATAAGATTCATTTGTATACCTCTCATTAAACCACATTTGTAGTTGTAGAGTTTACATTTCTATTTTCATCTAAAACTAGTATTTTCAAACCTTTTTTTTTCACTCTAAAAACTACTGCATAAAGTTTTTCATGTGTGAATATCAGATAAGGAAGATAAAGTCTAACTTTAGAGAAAGTTTATCGTTTACTTTTATTCATTATTATTATAAAGCATAGACATATAGAAAATTGCATCCTTTAAACCTTGAAATGGATGCTTCAATAAGAATGAGTCAACTTCATTCTTCATGTAAATATTTTATTACCAACATTTTTTTTCTATTATTACTATAACATTTTTTGGAATATTATTGACTTGCAACCTGTACCATTGTAAAGATCATTTCCTTGATCACTGGTGTTTACTCCTAAAAGTAACACCTTTAAAGAGCTTTACTTTGCAATAGTATATAGCAATAGCAACATGTTAATCTTCTAGAAATATAAGAAATGCATTTAACAAATCAACATAAACATCAAACAAAGTACATTCCATTCTAAAACTACTGTACGAATATGGGATTGGTTAAAATTTACAATAACAAATTTATAATAAAGGACAACATGTTAGAACAAATAACAAATTATAACGAAGTCAAACAATCATTTTAGACATCAGCTTCAAACAATCATCTTAGACATCAGCTTCAATGAAATGACATTCATCTTCATCCTCTTATCAGTGTAAAAATTAATAAGTATTGTTGTGAATTAACACAACAAAATTTGTAGACTTTTGCTTTAAAAAAAATACAAAAAAGTTATTAAGTATTAGAATAAATGAAATATAATCTAATTCTTTTCTTGAAACATACTATGTACAATTTTCATGACCTTAAACATCGTGTATGAATTGAAATATCAATAGCTAAAAAGGTAAAATGTTGCTGTAAAATAAAATCAGGATATAACATAGACAATGCTCACTGAAATATTTTAAGAACCTAGAAAGCTGCAATCCATGATTCTTTGACTATAATCCAGTGTATATATCTTAATTCCTATTAAAACATAATACCTACACCTGCATTTTCCAGTCATAGATTGTGCCCCATAAAAAAAATAATATATATATATATATATATATATATATATATATATATATATATCCTGTAATATTTAAACATTGCATTATTTATTTTAGACATCAAATAAAAATACTTTAAATAGATAAAATTAGTTTATAAAAATAAAATGAAGTTCATATACAACTATTTCATTATAAAACTCTTCCCAACCAAGTTAGAACAAACTGCAGAGCATGTAGAAAGGAGTTGATTTTGAAACACTTCTAAAGGATCAATTTTATCATTTCAATAGACAAAGGATATGCACAATCCAACTTCTTCAATGCAAACTAAATCCTAGAATCTAATGATTCAAATCTAGAAACAGAATTTTAGATCAACTAGATACAACTAACAAACATAGGGAATCAAAGGCACAGATCAGGAATCAGATAATTTGTTTAAGAACTGGTGAACTTTGTAACAGCCTTGGTACCCTCAGAGACGGCATGTTTGGCCAATTCTCCGGGTAGCACAAGCCTAACCGCAGTCTGGATTTCCCTTGATGTAATGGTGGGTTTCTTGTTGTAGCGGGCAAGTCTAGAAGATTCTTGGGCAAGCTTCTCTAAAATGTCATTGATGAAACTGTTCATGATGCCCATAGCCTTTCTGGAGATACCAATGTCAGGGTGAACCTGCTTCAAAACCTTGAAGATGTAGATCTTGTATGTCTCCACACTCTTCTTGTGTCTCTTCTTCTTGTCACCAGCTCCTCCTTCCTTCGGAAGCTTCTTCCCTGCCTTCGGTTTCTTCTCAGCCGGAGCCTTCTCTCCTACGGTGGACTTCTTCTCCTCCGCTGGCTTCTTTTCCGCTGGCTTCTTATCTGCCTTTGGTGCCATATCTAGAGAAGAACTTTGAACTCTGAAGTAAATTAGGGTTTGGAATTGGGATTTCAGAAGCTTGATGTGAGAGCAGATGAAGTTGTGAGTATCAACAGAGTTTAAGAGGATTATAAATATAGGGAAAGTTTTGTCTTCTGATTGGCTAATGGGGTTTGTCGCGGATCGATGAGCTGGCGTTTTTATGAGACTGTTGATCAACGGCTGAGATGTTGTTTTTACTTTTTAGTTTGCTTTGGTGCCTAAATATATTCTTGTCCCACCCACGGTTTTCTTTTATGGTTAAGATGAAAGGAAGACAGTTTTACAATGGAAACTTAAGTTATCCTTTTTAAGTTTCATCTATGAAAATACATTTTCTTTTAAGAAAAATAAAACATTTCTTTTAAGAAAATCCACTCCTATTCTAATAAAAATATGGAATAAATTTAGAACATTCTTGAATTGTTTCCGTTATTATATTATTTTTGTTTAAAAATATATATTATCTAATTTTATCATCCTCCTATCTTTCAAATACTATATTTTTATGATGATAAAAGTAATTTATTTTATTTTAAATTTTAAATATGAAGAATTACTAGTTATGATTTTAAAAATAATATTAAATTAATTTATTTTTGGAAGAATTACTAATTTTTAATTTCAGTCAACATCTTATCAAATTAGAAGGAAATCATAAAATAAAGAAAAAAAAAAGAGGATAAAGCTTGTAGGGTAGCATCTTTTCTTAAGTACTTTAAGATTCCCATCAACTTATTAACAAATATATTATAACAATTTTCTCCATTTTATACTTGAAATCATTCAATTCCTCTAAATCATACTTTTACCTCAAAGAATAAAACTAGAGCAATTATTTAGTATCATTATCTTTATCAAGTACTTTGAGATTACGAGAAATAAAATAATTAGAGTGATTCGAGATATATCCTTTATTTTTTAATTACATAGTAATTATATGATGTGTCGAATGAATATGTTGAATATGTAATATCTTATGTTGTCATTTGATATTGAGATTTGTAATATTTTTTCTTTAATCTATAATTGAGGTAAATAGTGATGAAGTAGCATTCAAATAATTTAATGATTATGAAAAAATTGATTTTAAATGTTGACATTTGTGTATATAGAAAATACAAGGAATCAATAAAGAAAGGTAAATTGAAATAATTGTGAAAAATGAGTCACGTTCATTTGTAAAATGTGATTTTATTATCACCTAGTGTTTCTGCATTAAAACTATCGTCTCTAAATGAAATTTAATTTTTTTATTATTATTATTATTATTATTATTATTATTATTATTAATAAGACTGTTTATTTGGTAATAATCACTTAATCGTATGATTATTGACTTATTCTTCATAATGGGTTTAGTTTATTTTTTAAAAAGATTTCAAATTTTTCTAAAAATTTAAAATTTTAAATCGGTACCCTCTACTTGGTAATAGTCACTTAATCATATGAATATGGATTAGTCTATTTCATCTTTTAAAAATTTCAAGACTTTTAAAAAATAAAAGTATTTAGATCGGAACCTCTACTTGGTAATGATCAACGAATCATGTGAATATAAAATATTCTTGATTTAGTTAGTCTTTTAAAGATTTTAAATTTTTCTAAAATTAAAATTTTTTTTATTAAGACCCTTGATCATGGTCATTGAATCCTATGAATATAGATCATGTCCTCCACATTGGTCTAATTCATATTTTAAAGATTTCAAATTTTTTCAAACTTAAAATTTTTTTGGATTAGGACTCTATTTTACAATGGTTGCTAGATATAGACTCTCTCTTCTTTAAAGTTTTTGGATTTGAGCTTTCTACTTGGTAGTGATTACCAATTTTTTTTTTTAGGATTGATCATAGTTTTTATTTGATTTTGTTTTTTCTTTCTAAACATAAACAAAATTAGTTTGATATTTTTTAATATAATTTAAATACAGAGGAGCAACTATCCTAATTTTGTCGAGATAAATGTAAAAATAATTTATAAAAATATAGTATTTAAAAATATAAATATAAACTAAGTTAAAAATATATGTGTATATATTTATAATAAAAAGTATTACTAATATAATAAAATTTAGAATTAATATAAATATAAAAAAGGAAAACAGGAAAAGTAAAAAAGAAAACAAGGAGAAGGTGATTTATGATCTGAAAGCCTAGCCACGAGGGCCACGTGGCTGAGGTCTAAAACTACGAGAGTCGGATTCTAACTGAAAACTGAAAAAAGATGTTTGATAGGTAGGAAAGTTCATCCAAATTACTACTTTTAATTCATGTTTTTGTTAAAAGATTTGTATGTTTTTGTTATTGATAATTAGTCTACGTGGATTGCTTAATTATATTAAAGTCTAGTAAACAGTGGAACCCTGTGTAATTGCTAATTTTTTTTTGTGAGAATATTAACAAAATGAACATTTTCTAATTGAGTGTGTTTTAGCTTCAGGAATATACTTGCAGCTCAAACTAGAAGTAATACACAGGACCTATAAACTACTTTAAGCTCAACAAGCGAATTCGCAGTCTTCCTTTTCACTCTTAGTCTCTTCACAGTCATGCAATTAACCAGTGCATTAACGAAAGGCAACCTTCTTCTTTCCCTCTTATCTAGATTTCTGTGTGTGCGTCATCATTCATCAGCCAACTTGTTTGTCGCAGGTTTTCTCCAACTTCTTTCGTTTCTACTTTCTTTTCTAAAACCTAATGTTAATTGCTCATTTTAGAGTTCTTATAGCTTAGGTCAAATGTTCCATTTTAACTGGGAGATTTTTGGTTTTGTTTTGGAACGAAGGACTTTCCTGGAATACCAATGAATCGATTCTGAGATATGCCTTTGAGAAACATGGTGAAATCGTTGAAGGTTAAAATCTAAGATCTTCTTTCATTTTTTTGGTTCCAATTTGGTCATACAACTATGTTGAAATTGCCCTAAATTCTTCTATTTTTCTTTTATCAGTTAGAGTAATATGTGATCATGTGACTGCGAAATCAAGAGGTTATGGATTTGTGCGGTTTGTTTCTGAAACTGCAGCTGCTACAGCTCGCAAAGAAATGAATGGCCAGGTTTTTATTTTTTTCATCTCTCCTGTTTGTTTGAGATTAATTCACTCTTTTATATCACAATCTTTGAAAATATGCGGACTTATTAGCTAAAGAAGTTTGCTTCTCTGTCACCCAACATTGTTATGTATGAGCCTTGCTACTTATTCTTTGACAGATACTGGATGGAAGACGCATTCGGGTTACTTATGCACACAAAGGCTAGGGACTAAGTCGGTCAAACAATTCATGGTTGCAGCATATTAACTCACGAGTTTTGCATTGTGTCTTTCTTTGTGAATTTCTGAGTTATTCTTGTTTTAAGATTTGATAGTTCTGTTGTCCCATTATTATTTGAAAACACTTGTTATATTATGAGGACTTTGACATCATGCCCAAGTTCCTTAGGACACTGAGGTTTTATACGCCCAAGTTAAGCTTATTTTGTGATGGATGTAAGGGTGTTGTTTTGGAAACTAGCAGGCAACAATATTAATATAAGATAGTTGAGACCATATAACTTGCAGCTCAGTGTTTTTCAGGTTTGATTTGTCTTTTTCTTTTTGCAATGTTACTGATGGCCAAATGAATGTGCACTGACAGTAACCATTTGAAACTTACATTTAGTTTCCCAATCTATTTTCACATGCACTTAAATGGTTTTAGCTATTCATTATAATTGGTCACTTAAGTTTCTCAATGTATTTTGACCATTACACGAATTCGCAGATTCTGAAAAAAGGAATGATCATTTCCTGTTGTCATTGAGTGACAAACCGCATAACCGCAGATTCTGGAAAAAGGAATGATCATTTCCTGTTGTCATTGAGTGACAATCCGCATAATCGAAACTCCTTGAATTTCAAATTCTAATGCAGAAATTTGATAACAATTCACATTCAAACCAACATGTGTCTTGGCTTTTGTCTAAGATTGAATTCATCAGCAAATCATGTGTTTAAAGATTGAATTCATAGATTGTGTCACTTTCATATTGTGTTAATAGATGTGTTCATCGGTCTCTACAAACAGAGATATTAATTTTCAGGAGTTTAAGCTACTGAATGAACCAAGAGGTAATGGATTTGTGCGATTTGTTTCTGAGACTGCAGCTGCTACAGCTCGCAAAGAAATGAATGACCCGGTTTTTATTTTTTTCATCTCTCGTGTTTGTTTGAGATTAATTCACTCTTTTATATCACAACAAATATTTCGAACCCAGTTATAAAACTTTTGAAGGGAATTAGAACATGAACATTTGGTATCAAACACTTCTATTGCATCAATTTAATCATTTCAATACATAGAGGCTGTGCACAATCCCATTTTTTCAATTTAAACTAAAACTAAAACCCTACAGATTGAAATTTAGGATTACAACATTAGATCCAATAGATACAACTAATAAACATAAGGGACCAAAAACACAGGTCAGAAATAAGATAACTTGTTCAAGAACTGGTGAACTTGGTAACAGCCTTGGTACCCTCAGAGACAGCATGTTTGGCCAATTCTCCAGGCAATACAAGCCTGACCGCAGTTTGGATTTCCCTTGAAGTGATGGTGGGTTTCTTGTTGTAGCGGGCAAGTCTAGAAGATTCCTGGGCAAGCTTCTCGAAGATATCGTTGATGAAACTGTTCATGATGCCCATTGCCTTGCTGGAGATACCAATGTCAGGGTGAACCTGCTTCAATACCTTGAAGATGTAGATCTTGTATGTCTCCACACTCTTCTTGCTTCTCTTCTTCTTCTTATCACCGCCAGCTCCTCCCTCCTTTGGAAGCTTCTTTCCTGCCTTAGGCTTCTTCTCCGCCGGAGCCTTGTCTCCTACTGTGGACTTCTTCTCCTCTACAGGCTTCTTCTCTGCTGGCTTCTTCTCTGCCTTTGGTGCCATATCTAGAGCAGAAGTTGGAGACCTGAAGAGAATTAGGGTTTTGAATTGAGATTCAGAAAGCTTAATGGAAAAGCTATTGAAGGTGTGAATGAAAAAAGACTTGGAGGATTGTAAATATAGGGAAATGTTTTGTAGTTCTGATTGGCTATCGGACCTTAGCGCGGATAGATGAGCTGGCGTTTAGATGTGTCTGCTGATGAACGGCTGAGATGTTCTTTTGGCTTCTTAGTTTTCCTTGGGGACCTAAATTTATTCTTGAGCGGGTACTACCTTTTACCAGTTAAAGGAAAACAATCTTTTTAACTTTAGTGTCAGAAAATCAATGAGGAGTGCATATCAAAGCTTTCTTTTTTACATTGATCTATCTAAATATTATTTGTTTTAAGATAATTCACTCTTATCTAATAAAAAATTATACAAACATAATTAATTATTTATTCTTACTTAAAACTTAATAAAAATTAATATTTTATTTTTATTTGATTTTTTAAAAACTATTTTATATTTTAAAATAAATATAAAAGGTTTTCAGTATAGTATTAATGTAGAGTAGAAATGAAAGTAACAATGTATTATCATCAAAAATAATATAACATAAAAAATAATATAACATCAAATAACTAATTTTCTTTTAATATTACCTGCTATTTAGTTGTTTTAACTGTAAAACACATCTTATATTATTTTTACTTCCCATATTATATTCTCAAGATGATGATAAAAGTAATTTATTTTTAAAATGTAAATTTAAAGAATTTTTCATAATTTAGAATAAGGTTTAATCATTTTGATTTTTATAAGATGGTAGGTGGAGCCTTACGTGAAATATGTTAGAGTAAAAAAATTTAAAAGGATAATGATACTTTGACAACACGTGGAATATGGTGTTCTAGGGTTTCAAATGACGAGATTCATTTTGTAATTTCAAAATTATAATCTGAGTTTGGGTTAGAGAGAACCCTAGAGAGAAGGACAACCCAACAGAGTCGCATGACGATGAGGAGAAGCATCGTTTGATAAAGTTTTGACCGTTTTACTGACCAGAGGCGCCGTTCACCAGCTGGACATCCGCCGTCGTTGGAAACTTTGGAAGCAAAGGACACCGAAAGGAATGTGTATTCGCCGTTCTGCCGTCGTTGGAGCGTTCGTTTGGGAAGTCATTTGTTGTTGTTCGGTGTGTTTTAATTCTTTTCTAATTTTTTTTACCATTTAGTAGTTTTGTTGTTTTATGGATCTTATTAAGATATTATTTAACCTTGTTTGGTTTTGATGTAGTATCATAAAGGAACTTGGTGAAGAAGCTTCTCATAAGAGGAATAAGGTATGTAAGATTGTAAAAGAAAACAATATTTGTAAAACTCAGAGTAGTTTTATAATTATTTTTTATAAATATCTTTTTTGTCTAGTAAGATATATATACTTTAGAGTATAAACACTTAAATGATGTGAAGGAAAATGCATTAATTTACAAAATATTGAGTTAAAAATAAATCATTTCCATTGATGGTTTAAAATATATTATCTAATTAAATTTTAAAGTAAAAAAATGCACATTATTAGCAATTTTAAATTTGAAATTATAGTTTTTAATAGTAATTTATATTGGAGATAATTATTTTCAATAACAAGTAGTACAAATGTAATTAAAATATCAAATACATGTAAATAAAAATTTAAAATAAATTAAAATATTTTATTTGTTATTTATTATCCCTCTTTGTGAACATAACTTACTATTCAAGTTCTAAAACCATTTTACTACTTTGTAGTAAAAATGTTAGAGAGCCCTTAACACTTTTTTTCATCAAAGATTTTCTCATGATAATTCATCTAATTCTTTCATAATTTTTGTTATTATAAATTATTAAAATATAGACAATTTTTAAATGTATACTTACATAATTCGATTTCATTGTAAAAAAGTTATATATGTAAGACATGATTTCTTACTTTTAAAAGTAAAGTTGTGTGGATCACACATAACTTTGATTAATTCTCTTTTTTGAGTTTGAATTGAAATAATCTTAATTATTTATCATTTAGTTCAAATCAAATTATATAAGTTTTTGTAATTCTTACATAACTCTGGTTTAAATGAAAAAAAAAACATATTTGAAATTTTTAAACTTAAACATGAAATTAAACTCATGTTTAAAACTTTAATATAATTTAGTTTTAAACTTTAAAAAAGGAATCCTCATATTCTAATTGAATTGTTATTTTTTTTTGTATGAAATAATTATCATGTAAAAATCAAATAGAAGTAACCTAACTTCACTTTGAAGTCATATTATATATATTCACGACTCATTTACAAAATGTCATATCATGCAACCGTCCATTAATTTTAAAAATCTGTCCATTGATAATTTACTACGAAAAGTAAAAAAAAAACATCTTCCATCAATACTTTATTAATTTGGCTTTTCCTACTTCTAACTTTGTTTAAGAGATAAAGACAACAAAAAAAACCTCTCTTAATTATTTCCTAAATACACAGTACACTTGATTGAATTTTGAATTTGTTAAACTAGGTTGTTTATTATAATCCGTATGTCTTTATGAGTAAGCAATCTACTCAAGTATATTTTCATGTGTACAATGACTTTTTCATATATCTTTACATGTGCATTCATTTCCTTTAATAATGTTATCATATCTAAACAAACTTAACCAAATTTTATATAGAAGTTCATTTTTATGAACCTAAATTAAAATAATAATAAAAATATAATAATTAAATTAAAACAAGTTAATGACATGGTATAATAGTAACAAATTATAATATCACGTTACATGACACAATGTCAGACACATAATAAATATTTACTTTTTAACAAAATGAAAAACAATAAATAAAAGTAAAAATTAAAAAATAAACATTTTAAAAAAATGATAAACTAACACGTAACACTTCAAAGTTATTAATATAGTATTTACAAAATTGTATAAAAAATTTCAAAAATAAAAACTAAATTGAAACAAATTTTGAAAATGATATCATTTAATTTTTATTTTAAATTTTAAAATGCACAATTCAAAAATATTCTGAAATACATAATCAGAAGTTCAAAATTTATATTTCCATTTATACAATTTGAAATATAAAATAAAAAATACATTTCATATAATATAATTCAAAATACAAACTTTATATTTTAAAATACACAATTTAAAATATAAATTTTATATTACGATTATATATTTCAAAATCTTAAAATAAAAAATACATCTAAACTATACAATTTTTTTCAATAAAAAAGAAACGAAAAACAGTCGAAAAGCCATCGTGAAGAAGAAGAAGGCGCAGGGGAGAGGTGTGTCGGCTAAAAGAATAAAAAAATAAATAAGATAAAAGGTAAATAAACAATTTCATATGTGTATACATCCATTACAGCACATAACAAAATATGTCTATACTCCTTGAAAAGAAAGTAAATTCCCAACTTTTATTTTAAGCGTTTAAACTTTGATCTTTGGTGTGCAATCATC